ATATATATGAATATGCCAGTTACATCATGGATCTACTTATCACATTTAACGATGTGACAACAGGACACTTAGGGTTAGGTGGGAAGGGAGAATACAAAGCAGATATTTCAATCCCCATTATCTGAGCTGAAGAATACTACACTGAAGACAAGAAGCCACAAAATTATGTTCAATGTTAATTCAATTCATTTAAAAAGTAGACAGTAATTACTATGCGATAATTCTATAAACAGTATCAACACAGAAGAATTCCAATAATAATTTTACTCATTTGATTTAAAAATAGGTTAAGACATGATTGGGTTCCCAAGAGTCAAATATCTGGCTAACCCTCACTTGTCAAGGTTCAGGGTGAATAATGCCAAGTTGGGTAAGGTTAATCGGTTTGCACTGATGCTAAATCGGTAACCATATAGTAGGTTGCTATTTTTGAATTCCTGATACTGGTCCATTTATTTATTAGGGTTTGGATGAGTTCCAGAACAATTGAAAGGAGGAACACTAGTCATTAATAGGGTTAGATTCAGTTTCTTCTTTAGAGAAGATAACATTTTCTATTTCCCACTCGGGTTGGAGGCTACAACTGGACCTGATGAGGCAGAATACTAAAATCGTTTTGAGACGCCAAGCATTTGATCAGATTCCACATTAATAAAACGTTGATTACATAGGACATTTCCGCAAATGGGACAAATGGCATTTACATTTTATGAATACAGATGTTGACAGTATCATTCTCCTGTTGCCTGATTTTTGCAACTTGTTTAGATGTCCACTTTGGATAATGTTGCAGCTCAAGCTGTCATTCTATTTATATTAGCCTTGCTGGTAAGTGTTAGCAAGCTATTCAAGCAGAAGCATTAGCACAGCCAAAGCTACCCTGGACCACTTCATGAACACATGTTCACATATCCAGCAAGGGGCCCTGGATACCAATCAGGAATGCAGACCCTGTCTGATCTCTTGGGATGCTTTAATTTGCCCTTACAGATACCCTAGCTGAGATCAGATAATAAAACATTAAACACAGACCAGATATGTTTTTACCCTCAGCGTCTTCCTGGAAAACTTTGCTGAGCCACCAAAAAAGTTCCAAGTTAAATAACCAGTGTTAGCCCTATTGGGTCAAGTTCCCTTTATTCTGTCCCTGGAATGCATTTTAATTCCAATTTGCCCACAAAATACACAGTCATTCCACTTCACAGTAAATCCTGTGAAGCGCTTTGGGATGTCCTCCTGACGTGAAAGGCGCTGTACCAAATGTAAGGATTGTGAATAATAAAAATAATATTAATATTATCAGAAAATAATACATTACTGTACTACACTGGTGATTGATTTTGACATTTCATTCAACAGCCATCCTTATTACTTCAAAGCAAATGACAATTTAATTCTAATCTTTAGCAAAAATGACAATTTTTGTTGTGTTTTTGGGATGCTACTTTGGATATACAGCTACTAGAAACTGGCTAACGATGTTCCAAATTATTCAGTACTGTGACAGTTTTACACCCAAAAGAAAGAGCATATTGTCATCTGATTGGTCTAGACTAGATTTAAACATTGGTCGAAGGTATTCTTTTACATTCCTTACCAAAATCAATGTTTGCAATAGGAAGATTAAAACAGAAAATATGAATGTATGATATATCATGTACATAGGTTTAGGACCGGTGAAACATAACTCTTATATTTATGCCTGACAATACCAATGTGTGTCTTCCTAATATATATCCTGCTTCCCCCGCCTCCCAAGAATTTTAGTTATACAAGTTCATTCTGAAAAACATGTACTACTACTTCCACTATTCACTCACAATTTCCATTCTTTTCTGAGTAATTGTGTTTATTCATCTCAACAGTTGGTCTACAGATATGGCTTCCTCTGACCGCTATACAGGAAACCATAAGCCGTTACAGAAAACATTGAAAACATTTTAACTTTAGGAACAAGAGAAAAAAACTCAAATAAAAAAGCCAAATTAACTTTCTTGGCTGCTTGAACAGACTAAATTGACTAGGTGGTGTGCAACTTTGGTAGTTTGTTTGACCCCGAGTTGAATTTCAAACCCCACATCCATTGCTAAGATTTCACATCTGACAAGCACGGGTTTGAACTCTCACCAGGTACCAAGAACTCCGTGAGCTTCCTCAGGATGACACAGCTCAGGATGAAATGCGTGAGAGCATTGCCACTATCTCCCTGTCCGCAGCTCGGACACACATCCCTTCCCATTGAGTGATGGTTCCACCAGTTGGAGATGCAGAACTTAAGCAGCAGTTACTTACCCCTCTGCAAGCCAATCAAGGTGGATTCCAGTTGCTGGATGTACAAACGCATGTTCAAGCACTCAAACTCCACGTTGCGCTTTCCAGCAGCTGTCACCTCAAGCTTCAGTTTCCTCATCAGCTATGTGGCAGACATCTGCCTTTAGCACAGTGGGAAGCCCTTTACAGGACAGCATGCGAGATGCCAGCTACCTTGATGTTCAAGGTCCAAGACCGATGCTGTGCACCAGGCTTACTCAGCGCTTAATCTCCACTTTTTGCCACAATCAAGTTCTAAGATCCACCACGATGCTTAAGAGTATCCAAACCCAAGCTGAGATTTCCATCCATTAAACCTACACATGGAAATCCCAGAGATGCATTATTGGAATGGAATGCACACTCTCCCTGGAGGGACACATCCTGTTACCTAATTTGGGAAAGTACTAGGTGCAGGTTGGCCAAGAGCCAAAGCTTGGGGACCCCAAAGTGAGTGTTGGGGTAACTGCTGGAGTCTTAACCAGCTGAAACTGCATAGCTTGCTGTCCAGCAAATTTTCCCACTGCTGGTCCAGCTAGGACTATCTGACCTTTGGCTTGCAGGGTTAAGAGAAGATAATACAATTGCAGTGACTGCACTGGCAGCACGGCATTATATACCATTAAACTAGAAAGCCTCTACTATGTCCCACTTGCCAAATTATAACTTCAAATCATTTTTCATTTAGGTTGGCAGCAACGGAAAATGTTGATTCAGTCCCGTCCCCTAGCATCCTACAAATTTCACTTCTTGATATTTAAATCAATACATCTATTGGAATCACTATAAAGTATACAAGTTATTCCCCAGTGCTAGAGGATTATTTGGTTTCCTAATTAATTTGGCCCTCTTGGTTTATGATTATTGCAACTGCATCCAGTTGAGTTTAAAATTTCAAATGGCCCATAGCATTTAGGAAAACAATTAATTATGCTGTTGGAAAAGATGCATTAAGAGATATTTAACAGAAAACTCAGAACTTCTGCTCCAAAGCGATTTAATACTGCAAAACTGAATTTTAACCGTTTGATGATTATGGTAGTTATTCTGCAAAATATGAATGTCAAAAACATAGATCCAATATTATTTACACATAATCTCAAAGAGCATTTCAATCAAGCTTAAATACCAGAATTTACTATCAATTTAGTAATTATAATGAATTGCAACAGATAAATCAATTTTAATTATCCTCTCTTCCTCTTCAAATATTTACCATTTCTTGTCTTTAATATGTGCATTTCCTTACATTTCTCTACATTAAAACCCATTTGGTCACTCCTTGGTCCATCTGCTGAAATGGACCACATCTGGAATGCTGTTTAGAGCATAGAGTACTCTAATGCAGAGGTGTGTAATGCACAAGTCCTAAATGTACAGGTCCCAAAATAACACCCTTCTTCTCTAGCAGAAAGCTACTATAGTATTCAAGCTATAGCGCTCTGGTCAGGCTGTATCTAGAGTACTGCATGTAGTTCTGGTCACTGTGATTCAAGGAGATACCCAGGCCCCAGCAACAGTGAAGGGAAATGAGGATGATCTGATATGAAGTATAGAAGATCAAGCAACCATTAGACAAGCTATGGCTCTTCAGTTTTGAGAAAAGATATCTCTATAGCTCTGTAGAGGTAAGGCGAAATACATCTCTAGGAAATTGCAAGAAACCAGGTCTAGTGGTTTGTGAATCAGATTTTTTTTAGAGTTAGGATAAGCATGATCAAATTTTCAAGTTGAAAGCAAAGTCAACATGAAGTAACAAAGTCTAAAATTACAACAAAGAACAGGAATAAATTTGGAGGCACATTTTTTAAGGATAATCTGAGACCCATCATAGGGTCTATTCCTACCATTTACAGATGAAGATAATTGGAAGCCTTTTGATATTTATTGCTAAGTGAAAAATACATTAGCATTCATATAATCCGGAAACTGGGTCTGCCAGCGATTTTAAGAAACAACAAATGACATCTTGCAACTGATCTTAAAGAAACCAAATCTGACATGAACCGTAGGTAGGCCATGTTCCAATAGACCTTTCCAGTTACTAATTTTTCTCCTCCCCCCNTCCTAAAGATGATGGTTCACATTGAAATGTTGATTCAAAATGCCAGCTGCTTTTGTAGTGTTCATTCTTTAAGCATGAAAGTCAGACCGCTCCTGACCTGACTAGACATACCCTCCCTTCCACCAGCCCTGGTCAGACACTATCTATGGAGTGGTGTCCTGTAGCTTAGTGGTGAGAACACTCACCTCGCAAGCAAGAGAACTGGACTTGATTCCTGGGCAGGGCAAAACTACAAAGCAAGGATCCTTACTCCATATACCTGTTTACCTAGCAGTAAGTAGGAACCTGGTTGTTCATCGATTGGCAGATCGCTTTCCAGGGGTAATAAACTGTTCAAAAAAATTGGTCACTTAATCCACGAGTGTTTGTGGGACACTGCTGTGCACAATTGGCTGGCACGTTTCACCCACAAAATACACAGTCACTATACAGTATATCCTGTGAAGCACTTTGAGTCGCTATATCAAATACAAGGATTACTATAAGGCTTTTTAGCAAGTTCAGGTTCGGCATCAGAAGTTGGGAATTCTGGCTGACCTTATTGCTCTTGATAGCCCAAGGGCACTGAAATCAATTATAAGGTCAACAATAGCACAAACTAAAGATCAAACATAGGCACATCAGTCTGTTTGGAGCAGCTTTATATTGGAACGTGCATTTACCAACTGAAGCAAAAGATGAACACTTCTTCTAAAGGAAAAAAATTGCTGGTATACAGTACGCAGTGAGCCATTCATTAAGTGCCAGTCAAACAGTGTTACTCACTAATTTGTCAAGAGCAATAATCCCACTGTTGCATTTCAGCCAAATCACAGGAATGCACCATTTAATTTCATTTATTTCACTTTAGCAGTTGAGACTGGGCATTTGCACTGCGGAGGGTGGGGGAGAATTACAGATCCAATTTGAATTAAATATAGGTCTGCTGAGAACCAGATGAGGAGGTGGGCCTCACATGAAATTCACTACAATAATGAATGGACAATAGACCGTTTGTAATGGTTTAGATAAAGTATATCAATTTGGGTCAATCATTATCCAGCATTTAATGGACATCCATTTTCGAACGGGGGTGGGGAGGGGGGAGGCAAAGGGACATTAACTAAGGGACATTAAGGTCCAACTGTTGCATAACTTTCAGCTCCCAAATTTAGATGAACTAATTCAGCAGAGTATGACTCAATTTCCCACTCATCAGTGGCTTTTTTTTAAAAAAAAACTGAACGTAGTAACTTTAACTATCTTTAAAGCATGAGCATCCGTTCTAATTTAATTAAAACATTTAAATCAAACAGCACAGAATGAATTAAATAATCTTATAGCAAGATGTAATTTTTTTTTTGCTCGTCTTTACATCCCCAAAGAATATGTATGTAAACTTGGATAAAGTGAAGCATTCATAGCAGATTAAACGGATATTAATTGGTATATTAACTGGTCCTACAGTAAAGTTTGCTCCAAGATTTTAATCAGTTAGACAAAAGAACAAATATTAAGATAATTCATTATTATTATGTAGTAGTGATTGACAGGATGAAGAGAATATCAGTCTTCTCATATTTCACAAATATGAAACTCCCGATTTTAATTCCATCCTGAACTGTGAATCATTATTCCCACAAAAAAATTACCAGTCATTAAAAAGGATCATTTACTTAGAACCTTATTGACCATATACATCTTAGTCTAAACAGATTTTATACAATTAAAATTTATTAAATAATTATGGTTAAAAAAACAAAAAGGCACATGCAATACTACTGAATTTTAGCACATCTGAACATGTTTTGGCACCAGGTCAAACCTAATGTTCAAAACTGCTAAAATTGAAATCGAAGGCATTATTACAACTCATTTACATTTATAATACAATGTCCTACTTAGAATTTTGAAACAAACATTCAATAAATTAGAACAGATTAGAAACTGAGGAAGTCTCAACTAACTCAAGGGCAGTAAATTCTTTGCTACATTGATTTTCTGCAGTTGTCTGCAGACCTCATGCAAAATACTGTAAAACCCCAAATAATTTTCTGAATTTCAATAACTTGTCAAATTCAAATTGAAATGAACATCTTTCATGACCAAACATTATGTCTGTGCAAAAGGTAAACCTTTTATCTTTTTTTTCTTACTTACTGAAATAAATTATATTTAATATTGAAATAGCCCTGGCACAAAAATATTGCAATGAGTTTTGAACAAACTCCCTTTACTGTGGCTAAATGAAATAATCATGCAACAATATGTTACATCACAAGTATTCATGTTAAGTTTTGTAGGATAAGAAAATGAAAGTTACTACGTTCAGTGATAAAAAGGACTTCACGCTGATTGATCAGCACTGGTTTCTGCAAAATAAATCTCTCACCTCTACTCCCTTTCGGAAGGGAAAATCATTACCATCAAACTTGAACAGAGGTGCAAATCCGCAAGTCAATTATCAAAATGTGCTTTTTGAGGGGAACAGAACAACTGCTGATCATTTTGTAAACAGTACCTCAAAAAGATGAAATGAAAATTCAGAAGCTTTGTCCCCACCCAAGCATCTCCACGTAAACCCTGCTCACCAGCTGGATTCTCACATGAAGATATGTAGGGGAGGAAGAGTAGAAATAAATGGAAACATTTCTTGGCTTTTCAAATCCAAAGAAACCCTTACCCCATTCCAGAGAAAATTAAGTCTGTTGCTGGGTAAATCTGAACAAATGTCAGAAATCTATCCTTGGTTAAATCCATAAATAGGAATACTTGTATTGTAGCATATTTGTTAAATACAAAGAATTTAAAACATAGGACATGACATTTCTACACTGCAATAAATGGGGTACAGAAGACCATAATAGGAAGTTCTCAGCAACAACAAAAAAAAATCAAACAGAGCCATTTGCAGGAAGTGTAAGACAACTTATTTAACTCCGCAGCTCTTATTCGAATTGGTTCCCCTGACAAATTAATATTTCTCAAGAATAGGACTATAAAAATATAATTTTTCCAGAATAATGCATGTATTAGTTGATTTTTCATATGTCATCTATATGTGAAACACTTGGTGCAAATGAAATCTAACTTCTAGTATGATACAGTATAGTATGTCACTTTTTCCATGGTCCAGAAAAGTGCCTATAACATGCAAGATTATCCAGGTCAAACAGTCATTTGAAACTAAGCTTTCAGTACATATTGCAAAAAGAATCACAAAACCGCAATACATATCTTAGATTTAAAAACACATTTCTTTATGATTTTCGTTATTTTATTAAGTGTTTTTTACACCAGATGGTGTGGTTATAGATACAGTCAGTGAGTAAATGTTATTATACAGGAAATACCACATGTCCACTGACCCAACTCAAGACCCATTATTAAAGTGTTCCAGCTCAGAACACCTGAGCCGAAGAGGAGACCAGAGGAGGAATGTTTACAGGCATCATCAAGCACAAGTCATGTTCAGAAAGGCCAAAAAAAATTACAGTAAGGAGAGAATACACGGACATTAATGGTTTTCCTTGTGTTCCACTTTTGGTCTTTTACCTTGAAGGAAAGCTCAGACGTGATTAAAAACAAATCAATATTAGAGAAGCTGGCCTTTATGTGAGGTATACTGTCCTTAGTCTGCTGCTGATGGGCTTCTCATGTCTGGAGAATTTGCCATGGAAAAGAATGTCCTGACTGAAGGCAGAAATTCACCACAATAATGAATGGACAGGCCAGTGTTTCTCCTATAGCTGTACAAGGAGGTATGTGCATCAAATTTATTAATTTGGGAGGACAATACAATTTCTTCCTTTAATGAAAAATGGCTAGGCTTAACTATGCAAGAATGAATCTTGTCTTAAAATAGGCCAATTTTAATTTACTTTGTCCTGGAATATATACAAGTTGTTGGTTGCAGCAACAGCTATGATGTTCTCTTTAGGGTGCCAAGCTGTGTGTAGGATCTTCTTGTTGAAGTCCAGACTGTCAACACTAATTTCATCTTTCTTCCTTTTTCCACCTGTGCAAACCTTCCGTGGTTTCAAGATGGCACGTGGTTTACTGCTTTCTCGGGATGCTTCAAGTGTGATGTCCCGCTTGGTGTTTCTATCAAACATCCGGAAGAAGTTGTTGTATGAGCCAGTCATGATAGCACTGTTAAAGAATCCAAAATACATGTTAGTTCAGGTCACATTCCTAATTTGTGCACTCATTTAGCCAATGCCAGCAGCCATCCAGAAGTTGAGCAATGTCTTTCATGTAGGAACACTGCATATGATAAAACGTAGGGACAAATCAAAGTATTATGGAGAGATGTTATCCATTGTGTTTACATTACCATCCTATCTCCTAACTCGACAGCATGTATTATAACCACGATTAAAAAGTACACAATTAATAAAGACAGACTTCAAGCTTGGAATCAAATATTCTGCTGGAACAGAACTCCCAGTCTCTCAACTTAACCCAACAGAACAGCTGTGACGTTAAACAATTGACTCTGTAAATTCGCGGAAGCAATCCTTTGCATTGCAACTGTGCATCAGTTCCCACTTGATTTTGCACACAAGTAATTGCAATCTATAATGGTTAAATACATTTACTCTGTAATGAAGCTTCCATTGTTGATTGGAAAATTGCCTTGAAAAAGACATTCATTTTATATGACTTCCTGTAATATAAAAGAGCCAATACTGTAAATAAAATTATACTTTATGTCCATAACCTGTTGCAAACATTTTATAGCAATGTAATCCATTATTTGGAGGATTTATAGACTATAAAAATACTGTTAATTATAGTTCATTTAACCGAAGGAAACGTTTGAATGGTTTCACTTTAGTTCCTTCAACGATCCGTTTCTACCACTCTGGTAACAGAATAGGTATTTTGTTACCCCAGTAATGAAATATATATGGAACCTGAAAATAAAAGTATTATCTAAACATGTTGGTACACTGTTTACAGTTGTATCATTTCAAGGCTTGAATGACAAGTTTATTCAAAGCTTATCAGAACTATTAAATACTAATTGATACTGGAACATACCAGATCTTTGGGGCAATCACTTTTACACAGCTGACACTGTGATACAAACAGTTTTATACCTATTGTCAGGGAACCTGGCAGGCAAACCAGTTTGGTGTCAAAAGTGTTAAATCGCCTTGCAAGCTAAAATAGTGCATTCCAAGTCAGCTTTTATTTTATTTACAAGTGTAAGAACTACAAAGAATTTTGAGTTTTTAAGATGCCATGTTTAAAATTGCATTGCAAAAGCACCTTTGAGAGATACAAAACAAATTACCTGTCAGAACCATTCCAGCAGCATTCAAACTTATCAAAGATGCAGTCATTCTCATATAAGGAACACAATTTGCTTCGAAGGTATTCATGTACCTGGAAAAGATTAAAAATAGATTGAAGAATGTTTTGAGGAACAGATAACTGTACGTTTTCCTAAAATTCAAATAAATTATAAATTAAATATAAGGCAATACCAATTCTATGATGCATTTATGAGGTAACTTGCCTGGTATGTTTCTACTGGTCTTGTTTCCATATTCACATCCCACACCTTAACAGACAGGTAGTCTCTTGTCATCATATACCGACCATTGTGGCTGAACTTCACATCTGAAATTGAGGAGATAATTTCAGAGAAAAACGATCTGCTGCTTGGATCTTCTGGTTCCTCAAAAACTAGGAAGAAAAAGGGCAAAAATCTGTTATTAGCCTGTAGGCAGAGAGTATCTTACCGAAAAAAGCAGTTGAAAAAGTGTCAAAAAACTTGATTCTTGCAGACAACAACTCCCACCAGCTATGAATGCATTATGTTTGGCCAGGTCACGTGCTCAATTTTAAGTAAAGAATGTTTATACAACACTTATCTGTTAAAACACGTCACTAGTACAATTACAAAAAATGGCAGGAAGTTCTATATTCTTTTGGTAAGAGTAGCACTTGGGGGAATAAATATTGAAATTTTTAAGGCTTCCCACTTCTTAAATGAATTGAAGTTGTGTTGCAATTTAACAGAAAATTTCAACTTTACTCTGCTGCCTGTCAAAAAGGATTCTCTAGAACATATGCATTTATTAGTTCAAATGCCGGACTGATTCTGAAGATTTAAGGTGCATTAAGTATTTAAGTATAAAGCTATAACCATAATCTGTCACTCATTTCAATCTGTCGTATTTAATTCTGAAATATTAAAATGATTACACAACAGCTATTTCTGGGATAAAAAAATCCTTTTACAGTATATCCTGTGAAGTACTTTGAGACGTCAGAAAGGCGTGATAAGGCGCCATCAAATACAAGGTGAAAATTATTAAAACAATCATAAGCAAAAATAGACTTGATGCTGCAGCTGAAAGAAAAAGTGGCAAATGGAGGGATACATCTCAACTGATTGCATAAGCACTGAAACAAGTATAGGAATTCAGTGAAACATGCTGAAGATTTTTTAAAAAAAGATTACCACTGCAACTATGAAAGACTGGACTGATCTGTTTCAATTTAAAAACCAGGAGCAACACTTCAATCAATTTATGCATCATACTAGACAATACTTACACTTTGAATGTTTGTCACAAAGAGCACCAGCACGCATGTCACAAAGCCTTATGGTTCCCTTACTACTACTGTAGGCAAAAACATTGCACTGATGTGGATGACATTCTGCTGCTGTAATAACTTCTGTCAACTCTTCCATGTTGGCAGGTTTAATATCTACAATGTCTTAAACAAGGCTTGTTAAGGAAAAGCAAAATTTACAACTTAACAGATAATATTTAAAATACTTTTTTACAAAAGCAATACACACATCAAAATTTTATGAAGCCATTCAAATGCATCTTCAATCTTTAACGGTGTGCCAATACATAGACCAGATGGAGATATAGGAAAACGACAAAAAATTAATATAGCATAATGAATTACCACTGCAAGAACTGCTCAATCACCCAACATATCAGAAACAGAATACGGAGTACAAAAAAGCATGTTAAAAACTTCTGAGAATGAGAAAAATTAATCGTTGGTACACCAACATAAAATAATATTGCAATAATAGTACTCTGAATAAAGACTTTTGTGTACAAAATTATTTTACTAGAGTCGTAAACATTAAAAAAGGATACTAAAACTTCTATCTGTGATTTCTAAATGCCATAGGTTAATTCTAAGGTCGTCTGCTGAAAGATAGGTTTCATAGTCGCTATTTACTGAAATTGAGTTAATATGATAGGTGTGTGCATTTGCAAATATCCTTCGGGGGCTTGCTTCTACCATCAAGTCCATAGGCTTCAACACTGGCACCTATTAAATAAAAGAAAAATGTTTTAAGAATTGAGTGGCTAATTCCGAAATAGTTTAAGGTTTCCCAGTAAGTAAATTTACCAGGCATAAAATCAAAATTCATTGAAAGTTCCAGTCTGCACACATTAATTGTAATAACACTTGCATTTGATATAGTGCTTTTCATGTCTTTTAGATGTCTCAAAGCACTTCACAGAATATACTGTAAAGTGAATTGACTGTATATTTGTGGGTTAAACACGGTAGCCCATTGCGAACTACAGTGTCCAACAAACATTCGTGGATTGAAGTGTCCAATTTTTTTTATTATGTTTTTTTTCCCCAAGCGATTATTATCAGGCGTGTGAAGTAAGGAAACTTGCCCAAGGTTTCGCCCTGCCGGGAATCGAACCCAGGTCTCTCGTTTGCGAGGTGAGTGCTCTAACCACTGAGCTACGGGACTCCAATCATTAACATGATAAGATGTTCCACTTTTTAAAAAATCTTAATTTAATCATAAAATTATATAATTTCTCACTTTCATATTTTCTTCAAATATCTTTCACAAGTTATGACTGTCACTGTTTCACCACTTGAAATACTGATCACGGTTAATTAACATCTTGTTAGAGCAAGTTGATGAGATACAGTAACGATACTCCAAATGTGGTCATTTCGAAGGGTGTTGAGTTTGGTGCAACCTTAACCCCTACTAAAATGCTTTACATTGAGCAAATGTCTTAAAACTATAATATGAATAAAACTGCCTTAATTCTGTCAGATTACTGTAAAATAAATGAACATATATTTAACTAAGAATCTTATAATCTTATGATGATTTAAAGAAAATACTGGATCAGCACCAATTTCTATAGCACTATTTTGGTTTCTAAACCTTTTCAACAGAAGTCAATTCGAATTGAGTCAGCAAGATTGAAAATTCAATTTGTTTGTGGGTGTGTTAAGAGATTAAACATAACTACCTATTTCTAAGAAAAAAATAGCTTCTAGCCAAGAAAAACTTCAGTTGATGTACAGCTATTATCTTAAAATAAAGTTTGAAACTACAAATACCACAATACCTAAATAATTGGATAGAACACTAATCACAGCAGAAACCATATTGAATATATTTTGCATACCCGTAGTGTTGTAATTCTGACAGGATCCCTAAATCTTCCATCCTCTTCCTTCAAATTATAACCCTCTGCCCTTTTGTCTCTTTCGCTGATCTTCCATAATTTAATAGTTTTATCTGTGAGTTACAAGATAAAATACACCATTAATATTCTTTCCAATCACATATCCCAAGAGCAGATGTAATTGAATGGTTTGAAGAGAACAAGAACAAGTGAAGAAAAGTGAAACAAGAACAATATGCCTCTTTTATTCCACAGAAATGATGCAAGTTTGTTCGGATTAACGCTGTGAAACCAGATTTATAATACAGCCAATTGCAGATTGCAAGAATATCTCCAGAACCCAAGATTTACCATTCTTTAGTGTTGCTTACATCAGAAACCACATCAAATCATCCCAAAACATATACACTACAATATAAAATTACATTTGTAAAATGTCTTTCACATCGGGAGGATGTCCTAAGACGCTACGAGATCTTGGGAGCAATTTGTTCTTCTATAGAAATCATTTGTAATTCTTTAATAATTCTCAACTTTCCTTTCTGCTTTCCACTGGTAAGACCATATGGGATGATTAGATATAATATGAGAAATTAGGAATTACTCCAACAATATAAATTAATATTATGTTGGTTATTGTACAATGCACTGAATTAATACTTTTTTTCATGAACACCAGATTGTCCTGAAAACCAAATCTGATTATACTAAATATTACCATCTTAAATTGTATTCCTATTTACAAACATTTATGTATCAATATATACAACTCACCATTTGTAGAGAGTAAGAAATGAGCAGCATTCTGTTGGGGTAACCACCTAATTTTATTAATTTTTTCCTCAATTTCTAGACTTTTCAAGTAGTCAAACTCTGGTTCATGACTCTGAAAGGTACTGTAAACATTGTATTCACCTCTGTGGTGAGGTCTATTTTTACTCTGTGAAAAGAGTAAAAGTCAACATGAAACACACTCATGCCAAACTCAGTTTCCTGAGATCACCAGAAATCACAATACAACAAAAATCTTTTAAAAAGTCTTAATATACAAGTGAAATTAAACTTAAAATATTAAAGTTTCCTATTTAGACCGTGACTAGTTGTATAAAAATTACAAGTTTATCCTTTCTGAAGGGCTTTGATTACCTACTGAGCTTCAGGAAACTAAAATTCCTCAACGGCATTATACATTTGTGATACTCCTTGTGCTCTCTATTAAACCTCTATCTAGAAAAGGATAGAATAGAAAAAGATGAAAATTAAACTCAAGTCTAACCTATTAATACAAAATTTCTTCAGTCTTAACCCCAACAATGAACTTGCACAGGTTTGCTATTTACATTTCTTTGAAGGAATTTTTTCAACATTTGGTGCACATTACCAACCTCTTGCTCCCGTTGAAATATTACGACTCTGCCACCCTTATCTCCAGTTGCTAGTAGGTCTCCAGAGTAGTTGAATTCAACAGTTGAAATTATATCAGCTATAATAAGAGATAAGAAATCATTAGCCCATGAAAACAAAATCCTCAACATTTGAGACGGTTGCTTTTGCAGGTTTATGCTCAATCTTAAATTATCAGCATCTCAAACAATTCTTAGTTACATGTACATTTTACAATTTTGAGAATGTGCAATCAATGTGCATGGTCCTGTAAATATAGAACCAATGTTGCATTAAACACATATTTTAAGCACATTCCTTAAATTATTCCCATTAGTCACCTAGGAAATTCAACCACCACCAATGTAATCTGGTGTTAACTCATTACAAAGACTTTTCCTATTCATGAAATGTATACAATTAGTAAGATGTAAACACTATTGTAAACATTTAAAGCAGTAATGTGATACAAATACAAAAATATGAAAGTGCCCCTTAATGTTTAAAGTTCTAGCAGTAAACTACTAGTAAGGTTCTAGTTGTGTTTCAACCAAATGCTGTCAGTGATTAAAGGCAAATACCAAAATGTATTGATATGGCCTGATCATTAAAACTGATATTTTCATTTTAAGACTACACCAATAATTCTCAGTAATATTCTGTAGTCATGATACTAATCCATTACTACCAGCAGTAAGCCTATTAATTTTGATATTAATGTAACAATTCTCAGTAATAGTTAATATTATTGCGTGCCTGATATTTTCAAAGTTCAAAACTGCAGCAGTTTGATTTGTAAGAATTCATTCTTCAAGTATGATTAAAAATAATTTACACACTACTATATTTTTGGATATTACTAAATTCACTACACTGGATTTTAAGAAGAATGAAATACATTCCAATCATACTTTTTAAGCAGCAACACAAAATTACATTTGTAAAGCGTCTTTCACGCCAGGAGGACGTCCCAAGGCGCTGAACAGTCAGGGAGGACCCGAGGGGGGTGGGGTTGGGATCAGGGAGGGTGGAGTGGCCGAAGGCACGGTCGAAAAGGAGGGCATGAGGCGTGCCTTGAAGGAGGCAAGGGAGCGAGCGAGGTGAAGGGAATATAGGATGGTGTTCCAGAGGGTGGGGGCAGAGAGGCTGAAGACCTGACCACCGATGGTGGGGTGGACTGGGTGGGAGGCATGGAGTAGGCCGGAGCAGACAGGACAATAAGGGGTTAGGAGGTCAGAGAGGTAGGAGGGGGCAAGGCCATGGAGGGCTTTGAAGGCGAGGACAAGAATTTTGAACTCGATCCTCTGAGGGATGGGGAGCCAGTGGAGTCGGGCGAGGGTGGGTGCAATGGGGTCACAGAGCCTGGTGCGGGAGAGGACATGAGCTGCAGACTTCTGGATGATCTGCAGTTTGTGGAGGGAAGAGTTGGGAAGGCTGACAAGCAGGGCATTGGCATAGTCACACCCCAGTCCTTGCCAAACTGCACTGGCTGCCTGTCCCAGAGGATCGACTTCAAGATCCTTATCCTTGTCTTCAAATCCCTCCACTCCTCTGCACCCCCTAACTCTCTGAACTCCTCTCTCCCCACAACAGTGCCTGTTGCCTTCGCTCCACCGGGTCTGGCCTCCTCCTTGTCCCCTGAATCCTCCGCTCCACCATCGGCGGCCGTGCCTTCAGCCATTACACCCCGAGGCTCTGGAACTCCCTTCGCCTCGCCCCCTCTCTTCCTATTTTCAGGTCTCGGCTGAAGATCTTTCTTTTCGACCGCGCCTTTGGTCACTTTCCTCCCCTTCCCCCTGGCTCGGCCCCTGGATCTGTTACTGTGAAGCGCTCTGAGATGTCATCCGGCGTGGAGGGCGCTATATAAATCCAAGTTGTTGTTTGTAATGAAGGCATGTTTGAGGGTTTTGACGACCTGAGGGGTGAGGCTGTGGTGGAATTGGACAATGTTGCGTAGGTGGGGGAAGGCAGGGCGGGTCATGGCACAGATATGAGGGAGAAAGTAGTTGAGGGTTGAACAAGACACTCGCCTAGGTTCCTGACTGGCTTGGTGAGGTGGAGTTTACATCTGTGGATGCTGATGCCTGAGGTGGCAATCTCAAAATGATGGATTGATTTAGCAGTGGCTCAACTGTAATTGTAATATTCAAGAATAAATGTTTCCCCAATGGGCCAGTGGGCAAATGAATGAGGCCAAACTTGGGCTTAATCAACCAATGTGATTCTCAGCGTAACACCCCTCCACATAATCTTCGAATAATTGTTCTTAAATTATCTTCTCTGCATCCAGAATTCAATTCAGGTGCTTTCTCTAAGATTACAGGCTTTCTGAATCCCTACACAAATGGAAGATTCTCAAATATGATCCATCACTCATGCAGACAAGCTATGGTCTTTTTCAGTCTTCCATCAGCAGTGAAGTTTGCAGTTAAACTCTGACAGGACCCACTCTTTTGCAGCAAAGACCATCACAAAATCATATTTTCTCCAGTTGCGTCTGCAAACAGTTGCAAATACTGTACAGCCCTTCATTTGATTACTGGCAACTGAAGATATTATTGGTGCACTTAGTTAGCAGCCACACCTGTAAATGCAGCTCTGAAAGGTAAATAATATAGTGGTCCTGGCTCTGAAGGATTGAATAGTTTCTGAATTTGATTAATAGCTATAAATTATCTTCAGTGAAATCGCTTTTTCAACAGATAAATATGGTATTAGTCTTCAGATGGTTTATTTCCCCCCCCATTTAAAAGTAATGCAATCAGAAAGGAAAAAATACTTGCCATGCAATTAAAATTGCTGGAGAAACCATAGTGTTACCACTGCAGCTGAACAGCAATGAAAATCAAGCAGAACATTTAGCCATGTGCCCTTTGCCATACAAGCTCAATTTGCAAAAATAAAATGACCATGCCAACACATTTTTCATAAAAATAGTTTAACAGACCTATGCAACATTCCTCTTAAAGCAAACTCATTCATTTAAGTCTATTGAACCCAGTTGAGACCGACTAACAAAAGGCTAATACTGTAATTATTTTCATTGCAGAAATCCAGCCTTACTGTGACATTCAAAGCTTTGCAGATTCATTCATTAATATTCAGTGCTATTTCACTTAGCTAAATAAACAGGCAGAAGCTACTAAATACAAATACGTGCTATGTTAGCTGAGTTTGGATATTAAAGTTACCTTTATACAAGGACTTTTTGAACAACCCCAAAGTTGGACATGAATGAAAATCCTTCTCTTGCTTAAAGGGACTCCAGTTTCAGTTATAAAACTTGCAGAAGCAGTTCATAAGATGTCAGTTTTGGAGTGTCTATTCCCTTCTCCAGAAGTTTGGCAAAAGCCAAGGCACTGGGGACCACAAACTGCTGTAATTAAATGCTGGTAAAACTGTACTGCATACATACAAGGTTTTCACGGTTCTCAAGATCCAAGTGGGAATGAATCCAACCTCCGGTAAACAGTCTACATGACAAAGTCACTTTGATGAGCCAGAAGGTTGGTAAATTACAAGTGCCCTGGAAGATGCAGTCTTGCCTGGCTTTGGCATCAGAATACTAAGTATATCACATAAAATGGATATGGCATTGTTTTCCTTTTGCTTAGCATATCATCACCACGCAAGGCAGCTCAACCCCAGAGATATTGTTTACCTGGTTGCACCTTCCCTCCAAAGTTTTGTCACAGGTTAGTCAAATAACTGAGAAGCACGGGGTTCAGTCCTGTTGGTACATTGGTGATCAAGAAATCCTCCTGAGTGGTGATGAGCATTAGCAGTATTTACTTACTGCTTTGCATATCAACCAATGCAATCATGAATTTGGAATACAAAAGGGCACATATGGAAACCAACATTCTAGGTAATGACTTCCAGGAGTCATAATCAGGATGATACCATGTGAAGGAGGTTTTAGAAATCCAAGTTATTTTGCAATCCCAAGCATCAACATTTCCTCAAAACATCTGAGATATATTTCAGTCCTATGACTTACCTTCAAGCAGAGTTGCTCTTCAATAATAATAGTACTAACTAGATCTGCTCATTTTCAAAGCAGCAGATCATGTATGTAAAGCAAATAGAGAGCTAATTAAATCAGCTTTCATTGGGAGTGGTGATGGAGTTTACAGATCAAGAATATAAAAGTACTGGACTGTCTCCACAAAAACTATTAAAATAGAAGTACTCCTGCCAACAATAAACCACATTTCTACAGTTAAAGTGTTTTAAAAAAAACTTTATATTTGCAATAACAAGACATTGACATTTAAATTATCCTGTGATCAAAAATACCCTGGATGTTTACCCATAACTAGCTTTCTCAGACCTTCCCTCAAAAGCAAGTCATTGGTGTTTCAATTATCTGTAGCATGCTAATGCATCATACATGCCAAATCAGTTAATTTATTGTAGGAGCGAAATTGAATCAGAAAAAGTCAGTCTAACATTTCAGATGGGACAATTCCTCAGAACCCATGTCAAACTAGACATCTCAGCTGCTGATTAGCCAATCTTCTATCCATTTCTTGTACATAGTTTTTCTTTTTTATTTGAGAAACCCATTGATTAAAAAAATCTATTGCACTGAAGATTGAATTGGAAAAGTAAAGAAATCAAATCTCATTCAAATCCAAGTATGAAGTGCTGTTTGCCTAAAAAATTGAAAAACTATGGTATTTATTTTCTTCAATGTGGCAAAGGTCATTTCAGACTAGCTGTGTGCTAACCCTACTAAATCTACAGGTGGCCAGAGGCTACAGGCAAATTACTGAACAGTCCTATTGAGACACTGTTGCTTTATTTATCAATATACCTGCAATCTTAATTGTTGTACAGTACCAATGGGTACCTTCAAATTTACCTTGTGCTGCTATTCTGAAAAGTAAACAAGAAATCACCATCAACAGGCGACTCTTCTCTGTGACTCCAAAGCGGCAAAAATGCCAGTTATTTCTGAAAAGAGTACTTTCAACCTAGAGACTAGTATGCGCCCTCCCAAACATCAGACACATTTGAGCAATTATTTTGTACTTAAAAATGAAGATAACTTTCACTGATGGTTCGGCGAAATTCATGTTTTAGCATAAACTGCTATGCAATTCTTACTACAATAACACAAGACATGATAATGAGCCAAAAATTTTATCCTGAGAGATTCATATGAAAGATCATAAATGACTAAATCCAGATTCTGCAATCCTGAAATCAATTTTAAAAATTGTCAAAATGGCAGTTAAAAATAAGCCCCCAAATTGAGATGAATTTCTTGGCTATGGAAAGAAATTCCAATACAGCAAAATTAAGATCCACTATCAAACAATTTCTGCTGTTGCAAGTATATAAGTGTAGAGATGCCTTGGGAAAAAAATAACTGTCCTTAGGGGAAAAAACTACTAAACAAACAAATGTTAATTTTAAATAAAGCAAGCATTAATCCATTTGAATCTGGGCTTTAACATCGCAGTGCAATGCAGTTCTCTTCTGCAAGTTTTCTCTTAGAGATCCAATTATTTATAAAAAAAATAAATACAAGGAGGAATCATGCTGCAGAACCCATGGGAACTAAAGCAGAAATCGTAACCTCAGCCAAATCTGAGTTTTCAAGATGCTAACATACAGTTTGGAATCTTCAATTTATGTTCCATACTGTACCTTGATCAAAGGATGACGTTGACATCAGTGAATTAGTACCAGAGGTAGAAGTCTTAAACACCTGAGAGAAATTGCAAGGAAAGCATTTCATCTTCTGCAGTATGCAAATGCAGCTTTAAATTTCTCATTTGTCACCTCCACAGTCCAAATCACTGAATAAATGCCCGCCTTGTAAGATTTTCTTTTGCTAAATGCAATCCAGACATCTAGGTAACGTACAACAGTTAAATATTTCAGTCGAGAAAGAACAGGCATGACGAGGGTGGACGCTGCATTTACAGCATAATAGTGCAGGACCCATATGCTATTCCCAAGACGCTGCTAAAATGGGGGAGGGGGGTGGGGTGCACTGCATGAAAACTAAGCTATCTAAATCATTGCCAATAATTTAAAATCCAAAAATTTATGCAGCTATCAATGGAAGCACGGTTTCTTGATTCTCCTAGGATATCAAATTATGTCACTCAGAAATTACTACTCTCTCAATTTGGCCCAAAAAATCTGAAACAAAATCAAACCTTAGTGCTGCTTTCTGTGAGTGCTGATGTTTAAACACTGCTTTCCCCAGTTCAAATCAGCAATACGATCCAGCACCTCAGACGGATGCGGCTACAAATCAGAAAGGCAGCCAATCAAGTGAAACTAAGGATTATCCATATTCATCTGCTCTTTCTGATATACTGCATCATGTTTTCTGTGAGGAAATCTCAAGCCAATTCATATTTAATAAACAACCGTTGATTAAACTACCATTCACCCAAACTCAAATGTTCTTGCAATTTATTTAGCAAATGTAAAGATGACCAATAAATCAGTTTTGATATTTCCCATTAGGTTTATTATACATTGCTACAGTTGTACTTCCAACATTTAGGCTGAAATAATTAAGACTATTTACACAATACATTGTTTTACTTTAATTCCCTTCCCAAATGCTTTCCCAAGCCTGAAGTCAGTGATTATTGGAAAAGCTCCGACAATAGTTCATATGATGTGTTTTAAAATTTTAAAGAACACCCCATGCCAGCAACACTGTATTCATTTTTTAAATTTTTTTTTTGCAACCCTACATCTTACATTCACATAACTATCACATTTAACAAAATATAGATTTCAACATACTACAACGGAAAAGGGCATTTCTGTATGACAATATTGCTCCCAGGAGTGGCAAGACACAAGTATTTATTGGTTCACATGGTAATTCCTCAATCTCAAATGTGCTATCCAGGTAGAAAGATAACCAGGAAATTAGAACCAGTGAATGATCAGTTTCACACCCCTTTTGCCACCAAGTTCTAACTGATATCTGTCTTTACCCTCAATATTTTTCATTAAACAGCTTCCATTTACACACAAACACACAAAATGCCATTCATTACACTCAAGATACAGCAGGGAACAATAAAAATACATTCGTTATCCTCATTTCCACCAATGTACTTATTTTTTCTACCAACTGCTTGATCAGTCACCCTGGCATTGCATAATTTTAATGCTCTAATGAAACATCTGACTCTTAAGTTTTTATTGGCCAGTTAAATTGGATTTAAGACAATGAAAGTCATTTTAAAAAAAAGCATCCAAAATACTTTAAGGACTATATTTAACCAAACAATTCTGAAGTTGAATCGAATTACTGTTAGTATTTTTGTCTGGGTTAGTTTGTGACCTGAAAGTGTACAGTACAGATTGGTCCAGACTCGAGTCATGGAGATCCTGCAAATACTCCAAGGATCAAAGCAGATGGAATGTTCGAAGGGGGTACTTCCGTTTCATAGAAGACACATTTCCCTATTGCGAAAATTCCTTGCATTTAAAGCATCGCTGCATTCTCAGCTGCTAAGATGCTCCACTGACATGTGTTATGGGGAGAAGGCAAGTGTGTTCTGAAGTACTTTCATTTTAATAAGAGCAGGAATTTTAGACAAATCTTAAATTCAATCCAGACCAATCAACAATGGAGAGGGAGTGCAGTACTAGCAAAAATTCAGTCATACCCTTACGACTTAATTTTTTGCCAGTATTCTCTAAACATTCCACCTGTATAAAAAATTCTTCTACATATAAACTCGTACAAGTCGTATCAGTTGGGACCATAACATTTCATTTAATTTACAACAGCAACAAATTACACTTGCGTAGCACCCTTCACGTTGCAAAGGCGTCCCAGGGCATTGGAGTAAGAGTAGTAAGAGAGCAAGAGTACTTACGTGAAATAAGAGTTGTGCACAAGTTGGATTTTATCCAGCTAACACAACAAATACAATGAATGTTCAATGAATGGCATGGACTCTTACAACAAACTTTTAACACTGTAACTGGATTATTTCACGTATTGAAATTTACCATGATTAGTGCTTAAATGTATGCGGTACTTCGTCAATGCAGTGGTAGATCCGGTTGTGGCAATACGAGTTAGGAGATTATTTCATTAGGTTTACATTATTTGGGATCAAGAAACCATTACAATTTAGCAGTTACAGACATAAAATACGACTAGTGCAAAAGAATCGAAGTAGTGTTTAGCAGGAAAATGAATGGGACTTGGGTGCATGCCCAACCTAGGTGATTATACAACATAACTTGTATTTATGCAAGTTAACCTGTACTAGTCATAAAACGAAACTCCTTATGGTAAAATTCCTCAAATTTCTCGGCTTGTAACTGAGCCACCAATCATTAGAAATAGTCTTTCCCTATTTTCCTTCCAAACCATTCAAAACTTTGACAGTGTATTAAACTCGCTTTAACTTTCTTAGCTCCAGCAAAATAGTTCCAGTTTTTAAATGCCTGAGGTGACCATTCATTATCAGATTATTCCTAAAATAGTATTTTCAAAATAAACCATCTTCTGAAAAGACATCTCTTAAATACTTTTTCAAATTACAACTTCTGTTTTATTGGAAATCTTATACTTTTTATGGAGATGTTTAACATTAGCTTATGGGAATTAGTGCACCAGTATGAGTAAATACTGTAGAGTTGGTTGCTAGATATTAATAGAAGAATAATTATGCTAGAATTAGGCAAATATTATTCCCTGGAGTATTTATTTTAAGAAAGAGATCAATGGTTCAAGATGTGAAATATTTTGAATAAATGCTCTTCCTTCAGTATGATTATAAATAAATAAGGATCATTTTTAGAAGGAACCACGGTATATGGGAAAGAGTGGAAATGTGCAATTGCAACATTTTTATTGCATAATTATTGAATCAGCTTTCTGTACATCCTTGTATTCACTCAATCATATGGACCCTAACAAAACTAAGAATGCAGATAGCTAATTTACCCATAGTATTAATTAGAGTTTCAAACGAATGAAACAATCACCACGTATAAAAATACATCAGAAATGAGAAAAATGGGTTGCTAGTTTACATATTTAAATGTGTAGTTTGTGCACTAAATTGAAAACAAAGCACACATTTAAAACTTGACATCTCATATCCTGCAGCGAAGTTCTGCTTTCTAGGAAGGTTGCAAATCGTAAAGGAATGAAATTTCAGCAGAATGTGATGCCCAGTGACCGACACTGAGCACCATTTCTATACATTATTCATTGGGTTAAAATAAACAATAGTTGTTTTTGGTACTGGCAACTGGTGAAGCTGTGAATTTATCAAATAAAATGTTAAAGACATCTGAATCAATAGGGAACATCCACTAAATGTGACTTGAGCAATCAGGAGAATCAAAAATGCACAGAAAATTAGCAAAAATCTGAATTAACAAAATAAAATTGGAAGGTAGATTAATTCATATTTTATTCACATTCTTGTATCTCAGTCAGTACTAAAGTGGAACATTACACTGTATATTGGATTGCAACATGCTGTAGGTTGCAATTGTTGGTAGAAAGTAGCAACAATCACATGGAACGAATTTTACTTTCATAAAACACCAAGTAAATCATTTATCCTTTTCTACATCAGAGATTAATTTACTCAACTAAGCTACGGTCAGGCTTCAGGGACTACCAATTAATAGATAGCATTCATTCAATACTTTCTGGTTTGATGCATACAAACGCGTCATTTTGTTATATCCATGATGCAATCAAGTAAATTTTCCAAGACTTGGCATTCAATTGTCCCAAAGTCATTCAAATCTTATTTTCAACCAAATAAAATTTAAGAAAGCATATTTCTGTCCAAAATGGATGGCAGGAGCCAAGAAAAAGAAAACAGGCTAATAAATATTTTGAAGGCATTATCTTGGAAGAGTGTATACTAGAGATAAGATTGAATTGTAACAAATAAAACTGGGCAGACAGAAAATTGAAAAGAAGCGAGAAGTGCATTGAATGAGTAGAAATGTTTTAAGTCAACTTTACACACATATGGATGACTGCAGGTACTGACTCCTGATGTTTATTGCATAGAATTGGCCAATTTTGTTAAGATATTTAAAACATAAGGTCATGAATAAATTAAATAATAAAATATTGAAATCGAAATCTAGAAGGGTAAAGGGATTTTATCCAAAAATATTTAATGCTTCCAGGCCATAATATTTTCCATTCTCAACAACATCAAACCACATGGTCAATCTAACACCCAACACTATTCCCAAGATTCTCAACACCTTTAGAAAAAGAATCTTACATCATAGTTTGACATCTGGCAATGAGACTTCAGATGCTTACATTTTTCGTAAACTAACCAAAGCACGTACATTTATATTTTGATGATTATAGTTTAGGGCAGCCTCAGAGAGATTTACATAAGTTGATAGATTCCATAATTCAACAGCTGTAAATATTTAGGTTGTATACAAAATAAGAATCAAACATGTCTCAATGCAAATTGCACAGCATTATGTTCTACTGCTCAAATCAGCAATGGCCACTTTTAATTTCATTTTAATTTAAGTAAAATTAATTAAATTTTAATTTAAAATTAATTAAATTAAAGAGTTCAAATCAAACAATGCATAGTATTTGAGATTTCATCACTTTTGTTTTTGGGGTATTACTATTAGTGAACATTAGTAAACTACCATCAGTTTGAAATTGATTGAATGATACGTCAGCATATTTGATAATATTCTTATCAA